AGTGAGATTGTGGGACACTGTTGTGTGCAATTGGCTGCTGCGTTTCGCCCACATAATACACAATCAATTCACTTTACAGTATATCCTGTGAAGCGGTTTGAGATGTCTCAATGACGTGATACGACGTTATAATCTGATGCTATTATTATTAATATCTAGACAGACGGCAACTGGTCTGAACATTACTAAAGCTATAAAGCTCTTTCATTCTCGATCTTTAGGTTGGCCATCTCTGCCTCTCAAATCTTTGAACACCTGGACCATTGTCCCCCTCTCAATCTTCTACTCCAATGGCAGCCTCATCACGAGGCTTGACAGGCAGCCATTCATGAACTTGTACTCTGCTTTGTGGTCCATTGACTGTTAGGAATGTTGGCCTATTCCCTCTAATGTGAATGACTGTCATTCTGCAGCGAGTGAGGTGACCCTTTCCTGGCACTAGGTACCAGGGAAGATCTGAAGACTGTCAGACCCAAAGGGGGCAATTATTTCCGGAATAGAATGCATAAAAAGCTATTGTGTAGCCATGTAGGGGATGGATGGCAAAGGCAAAGCACACACGATTCTTCTTTCACCTATATTTGGAAACATTTTACGAACCGTACTCAGCGCAACCTCGCAAATTAAAACCGACTTTAAGGATTTGCCACCATTATTTTCTTAACATACAATTATGTTAACTAGGACAAAATGGTCTCGCTGGCTGCGACACACACTGTGACCTTTCAAGCTGCAGAATTCTGAGGCAGAAGTTTGGTGCCAAGTATCGATAAACTCGAATGGGAGCTGTGTGGCAATCATGACTTCCGTAAAAAATTAAGCAACAATAGTTGATTTGTTGAAGTTTTTCTTTGCCAGCCTCAAAGCTACGTCAAACTCATCCTAGTTCGCCTTTCTCACCCACCTCGCCAAAGATGATTATCGAGACAATGTATTTGTTTTCAGTCATGATCGTTTTGAGCTCAGCATTTTACGGACTGGTGCTGTGCCGATTTTTAAAAAAAATATATACATTACACAGAACTTGATCCCTGGGGCCAAGGAGATTTCTATTAGAACACCCAGCAAGCGATCAAGTGCCTGAGCTTGATAATTTCTTCAACTGGTGCGGCTTGGAGCCAATAAATATATTTACTTTTCCACCCAATTTTCTTCTCTCTGCTCGCGAAGTCCGTGCGTGACTCATGCTGCAGTGGGCCAGCTCCCATCAGCAACTCAGGTTAGACGAGGTCAAGAGAAACCCTTTCACGCAGCGGGTTATCGGAACATTGAAACATGGAATACTCTGCCATTTGAGGGCTGATATCCTAAAGAGCACGTCTAATGGAAGTGGATAAGGGTTTGAAGATGAAGACGTTTGTGGAATGTAAACAGGACCAGGAACTTAGGATGATTTCCACCTTCCCTTCACATCCCGCCCCCCCGCCCTCACCTCCAGAGACAAGATCACTGAACCATATATGTATGCACAGCTGTCCAGGCTCAAAGCAGCTACCTCAACACTGACCAGGAATCAATCCTGGGACCTTCTCCAATATTATGCTCTGTGGCTCAATATTATAGTGTCCACAAAGTCATGTTACCCCCATGTGTGTTTTTTTTTAATATGCTGCACTAATCAACTGAAACTTCAGGAAGAACGATGACAATTGTATTTAGAAATACTTAATTGTATTCCGTACAGGGTGTACCAGGACTTTGTGGACACCCTGTACAATGAGAAGTGCACTTGGAGTGTAAGTTGGAAGCTGTTTGAAGAAACTGACTGTGGGAAACCAATTTCAAATCTTTTAACATTTTTAAGACCATAATAATATCCTTGCATTTGATATAGTGCCTTATCATGTCATTGAGACCTCAAAGATCATTAGTCTTTAAAGTCCATGGCTTTCAAGGTTGGAACCATAAGAAATCTCAGGCCTCAGTGTCCCTTGCTGTGCACTGAAGAGTTAACTAGTAATTGCAAGTACAGTAATGTGAAATGCCATTGAATTTAGATGCTTGCGATAATGATAGCTTTCCTTGTGGTTTGCACTTAAACAAGCGCAGAGTGGTCTAATACAAATACTTTGCATCTCCGGCCTGTAGATTGCACTTGGCACCAACATCAAAGCACAATTGGTCTTTCTTGCCTTGCCAGTACTTCATTCTCACTTCTGTGAATCACTTGTGCACACCTGGAGTGAAGTTCCCAGGAGGAGAGCTGGGAACAATGAAACATTTCTAACCAAAGCCTGAAACCGGGACCGCTACTGGTGCACTCGAGCTGTTGGAAACGAGCAAAGCCAAGGCATGTGGAGCCACCAGGGAGCTTCATTGTATTTTACTGAGCGATGTTTTCGATTTCGGCACATGTTGAGGACTTGTGAATAACATCGAACGTTCCCTTGAAAGGTCTTGGGCTGCCCATGGAACCACCTAGGACCCTTCATTAGATAACTAAGTGGTGCTCAATTAGATTAGTGCTCCCTGAATTTGTACTGTGCATGTTCAATCACATTGTTACTGAAACCATCTCTAGGTAGTGTTGGGAGCTGGACTCCAGCACCATTCATATAGACTAGGGTGCCAGGGTGCTTAACAATGGTATTGTTTGATGCTCAGTTGGTGAGAAAGGGGAGATGACCGTAGGCATGATCAAAGAGGAAAGTCTTCAGGTGAGATCTGAAGACTGGCAAGGTGGAGTGATTGAGGCAGGGAATTCAATAGTATAACATGATATGGACCCCATTTCAACCCCAAACTAGTCTAAGGTTTGCCCTGCACTTTGCAATACTTGCATATTCATATGCAATTCATAAGCATTTTAACTTAAAAAAAGGCTTAAAGTCCTTCACATATTATCATTTTGAAGTCTAGTGATGATTGTACAGGCAAACATGGCAGCTAACCTTTGCCAGCAATTGAAGGAATGAAACTCGTGAATTCATCTGTGTGAATTTGAATGAGGGAGAAATGTTGATCAGGAGGATGCTCCTTGCTCTTAAAATAACATCTTTATCAAACACTTAAACAGGCAGGTAAGGTCTTGTCCAAGGGACAACACCTCTGACAAAGCTTTGCTTCCCCAGTACTGTACTGGAATGACTGCTTAAACGAGAGGCTCATGACATAGTGTGGGGCTTGAACCTATAACCTTCTGACTCTTGAGACGATTGCACAACCAACTGAGCAAAATTAATTGTACGAGTTACGATTTCTGCCAGGATCACCCAACTCTCCAGCTCAGGAACCAGAGAAAAGAAAAAGCATGGGTAAACTGATTAAATTCATGTGTTTATTGTGAGGCATGGTAAGTGAGGAACACACATCCCTTTGCTCTGTCATCTCACACGACTCCTTGGCTGGTTCTGCGTTCTCATGTGATGCCTGTAATTAACACTGTCGGAGACACTGCTGATGAATGTTAAAAACATCCTGTCTCATTAGATTTCACTTGTACACAGTTAGGCGTTGGAAGGAACATGAAAAAGTACTACAGAAATGCCAGTCGCTCTCTGTACTTCAGGTACAGAGGCCGCTTGGGAATTTCTGCAGTCTTCAAGGAACTTCACTCAAGAAACTGCTACTTATATACATTTTTGAGTCAAGTTCCTTGACAAGGTATTTTCTTTTGAACTCTATCCTTTCATCGAGGTTGCTAAATGGCAACTTTCTATAAAAATAGAAACAGATTGAGGGAGCTGTGCTCTCCCCTGTTGTTGGTAGATTTACCGCTCTTCGAGGGTGGGATTGAAATCCTATTAGACACCCACATCGACAAAGGTCAATAACTTTCTAACCAGTGGAGAATAACCGTGTGCGCTTGGCGTCAGTGTGCTCTAGGCACGTATGTATGTGTGGGTGCGAGAGATAGGCATGTGTGCTAGCACCTCTGAGTGTTTGCTCCAACTGTGACCAGTGTGAGTGCATCCCTTGATTGACAGGTGTAGGGGTGTCCATTGGATGACTGATGGGTGAATGACATGCGTGTGCAAATGTCTCTTGATTGACGTGTGTGGGATGTGCTCCCCATGATTGACTTGCATGTATTTCGTGACTGAAACCCAAGTTGGTGTGGGTCTCGTGATCCAAACGTGTGCCATGATTGGCAGGTGTGCGAATGTGCATCCATGATTGATGGGTGTGTGTCCCGTGATTGACAGGCATGTGGGTGTGCGTTCATGATCAATGGGGCATATGAGTTGGCGTTCCATAATTGTCACGCGTGTTGGTGTTGATTGACACACATGTGCTTGTGCATTTGGACTGTGGCCAAGGCTGGGGTTCACTGTGACTCTCTCCAGGCGTGGCCTGACTGTGCTTCTCGTTCATCACAGTGGTCCTCTCACACAAAAAATAATATCCATCAAAACTCACAGCAGTATTCATTTACGCTCATAAAAATCAAGGAAAGTGATTACTAGACAACATCATAATGTGTGTGTGTGTGTATCATATATAATTATAGATATATCCTAGCTCAATAATACATCAGTATAAAATATTCAAAAGCCTTAAATTGCTCCTGTTTTTAACAGATTTTGAGCTAATAGCCTCAGTTAAAACAACATTGCACAAATTCTCCTTATATTGGGTAACATTTAACTGTCTGCATTGGATGCAGAGACCCTAACTCTGACCCTGCTACAATAAGACTGTCACTCCTAGACCTTCAAACGCCAATACTGTTTTTGGACCTGTTATTGATTATTGGCGCATGTTTACAAGGAAGAGTGTGGGTGGGGGAGGGGGAGGTGGGGCTGATCATGTGAATGCCATTCAGCCACCTCCAAAACCAATGAGGCTTGCATAGGAACTCTCATGTTCTTTCTTTTTCAGCCCCTTCCCTTGCCTCCCTCCCTCTCAGGAGGTGGGGTGGGGTGGGGGGTGATTATGAAACTTATCAGTGATTTACTTTCTCATATCGTCCATTTCCTGGGCCGATTTTAGAAAAATAGGTAGCAGTGGCCTAAATGCACGATGGGTCAAATGCCTCCCCCCACCCCACTTCTGTGCTTAAAACTTGTGTGTTCCTACACTTCGCCTGTAGGTTCAATTATCAATAGATATAAAGTTCCAATCGTTGTAGGCTCAGAGAGCACAGGATGTCTAAATATAGCAGAGAAGCCCCAGGACAGGGCTACACCCTGACCCCTCCTCTGCTTTCTTCTCTCCTCCCCCGCCCAACACACGTACATGCTTAAGATCCTTTGCAATCTCTCAAAAGCAGACACGCAACTAATTATTATTAAAAATCCTTTCCGATAATACAGCACAGCTGTGGAATCATTCATCTTATAACAATATTTTGTCAGTACAAGTTTTTGTTACAGTGCTTCTGTAAGGCCATCGAGACACGGGTCTCGGCCATAGTCGATCTGCATGGTATTAGGTTCAGCCTCTGTCATGTGACATGTTGGCTCTGGTCACAGTGAACCATGGTCTCCTCAAGGCAACTGGATCGTTGAACTGAATAAACCGTGGGCCCAGATGGGTAGGCTGAGGCGGGTGTCAAAGGTCACGGGAGTCATCTGGGAAATGACCCTTTGAGGGTGCCTGCAAAGGGCAGAAGTCGCAACCTTGGGGGAAGCATGCTTCACAGAGGACTTTGTCAGATTGCCGTGTCCCAAAGAACTGCCTGTTTTGTACAGGGAGGGGTAGTCATTTTTAAACTCTTTGCCGTGTTGTTTTTCTTCCAGCTGGGGAGGATGGGCATGCTGTCTTGTTTACAAAGGCCCTTCTCCGGCTTCTGTCGAGACTTGATCTCTTTACACAAATATCGCTTCTTCTCGATCGTTTCAAGTAACGTGCTGTCGCCATAGAACCACTGCTGATACAACGCCTGACAAAAAGACAGAAACCCAGGGCGTGAATCCTGCTGCAGTCACAGAGTCCAGCATATTGCTTCACACTCATATTTCTCCAGCAATTCCCAGCTGTCAGTTGTAAAATTATATCAGATCGTCCCCTCAAACACAATTTACACCAATTTGGTAATAACTGATTTCCTGTTATTCACCAGGATACGGGTTACTCACTGTTTAAGTGTGGACAGCTCCTGTTTATTCACCAGAGTAACACTGCATTTCCGATGGTATTTGATGGACCTTTGAGTTGCGTTCTGACTACATTTGATACGTGCCTTGCAGAATTTGGGCCACTTTTATTTTAAGATGCGGCCTTTACTTTCGAAATAATGTATATCTTTTCTGACAGTGTACACGTATTACAACGGTAGCTTGAAGATCACTGATATTATTATTTATTATTGTATATTATTAATATCACTGGGAGCTGGCAGTGAGGTTGAAGGCTACATATCAATGGAAGTGAGTGAGGTGGAAGGTGAAACATCTTGAACCACCTTGAAGGTCACATATAATGTTTAAGCTGTGAACCTGCATAATCCTATTGTTATTGGGAGCCTGAGTTCAGTTGCATATTATTAAGCGCCTGATTGAAAAGTCACGCATACTGGGATCTTCAGTGTCCCATCACAGCTACTGACGCTCTGCATTGTAACACCTCCATCACCCGTTACCTGTTAATGATCTACATTCCTGCTCCAATCCCTCACATTATGTAACCTTCAAAGCTCATCACGGCATCATTTTTCCTTTTACTTCACAACTGTTAAAGCTGTGGTCATGTGTGGGCAGGTGCAGGATGTAGCTAAAGTTTTGGGGTCTCACAGGGTATGTGTATGTGCTTGTTTGTGTGTGTGTGTTATGTTCTTGAGATTATTGTGAATTTTTTCAGGTTCCTGCTCTTTCTTGCACTCCTTCCTATCTTGACTTGTCCCTTGTTCTGCTAACCTCTGCTACTACTCTCTCCATTTCACTCAACAACAACTTGCGTTTATATAGTGCCCTTCATGCGGGTAGCGTTTCAGAGCGCTTAACAGAGATGTAGTTTGACGCTGAGCCGGGAGGGGAGGTGATCGAAGGCATGGTCAAAGAGAATAGTCTTCAGGTGTGATCTAAAGAGGGGGCAGGATGGAAGGATTGAGGCAGCAAGTTCCACAGATTCAGAGCACAGTGGCTGAAAGCATGGCAGAGGGGACGAGGGTTGTGCAGATTAACTGTTCTGCAACAGGTCGAGCCTGGCAAGGACTTCGGTGATGAGGGGGTGCAGAGCCTGATACGGGTGAGGACACGGGCTACGGAGTTTCACTCCCTCTCTTCAGCTGGAGAAACATTGGGTCTACGCTCTGATCAGCACAGGTTATCGTTGCTACTCAGCATCGTTCTACATGGAATAAGCTGAACACTCAGGGTTAACAACAACAACTGGCATTTATATAGTGCTCCTCAAGCAGGGTAGTGTCCCAGAATGCTTGGTGAACACCAGAGAGGAGCCTTAATGTTTGTTTAAATAAAATCTACTGGTGGTTGGCATTGAAATGTGTTTGTTCGTGTTGCCCCCTGCAGGCATCACTGCAAGTATGAGCAAACAATGAGCAGTAATGTTATAATGTGATTTCATTATAAATCCCAATAATTTCTCTGCCCTCCACTGTATCAATTAGAGCAAAGCTGAGAATCCTATCCAAATACCGGATAATGATTCTGTGGTATCCTCCAACATTTGTGTTTGTTGAAATGTGTTCAGATTAATTATAATCCATGTTGCAATGGGAACATTATTTTGTATAAAAGACCTGAATGTTGGGGGTGAGGGCGGGGTGTTTGGGGGAAGAAGCACTGGAAAGATTATAATTTAAATCCTCTCTGTACATAAAATGTGTACAGGGAGTTTTCAAGTAATGCAACAGCGCCCTCTGCGGGACACTGTCAGGATAGGCCAAAGCAGACCAGCATAGTGCAGTTGTAGAGAAAGGGGGGCAAATGAGACCATTCCAACACTTTGTTTTCTCTCCCAGTTGTGTGGGCTGTGAATTGTTAACCGAACTAATGGTTATATTAGTGGCAATACGGTGCTATGCTGCTACTCTTGCGTAGTTTGAATTCCTTTTATCGGTGCTATTTTGGTTGCTGTAGTCGGTAGGTTTGATGGGTGTTCCGAGAGGAAATTAAGTAATTTCTGCCATACAGAGTACCGATGGTATCAGCACATTTCATCTTCAAAGCCTGGCATTCGTAATGTGCGTGTTTATCAAGTTCCTGGGGGTGCAGGGTGGGAATGTTGTCTGCAGAGGGGAGGGAGGTCAAACAGTGTGTGCTTTGATTAGGCAATGCCTCCACAGAATGTCTCTTAGGCAATGGAGAGGATGGAGTTTGTGTTAGGAGAGGAGCGGGATAGATGGGACGAATGATCCATGTTTTGTTTTCAAGCGGTGGCTGTTGATGGTTAGTTGGGCGTTCACGGCGTGTGGGACCCGAAGGGGAGTGACATTGAGGTGAAGATGCAGTGGAGGCCTGTAATATCGTGGCTAGCACACTTGTCTCACAAGCGAGAGAAACCGGGTTCATTTCCTGGGCAGGGCAAAACCTTAGGCAACTTTCCTTACTCCACATGCCTCTGTCACACATCCTAGCAGTAAGTAGGAACCCAGTTCTTATTCGATTGGCAGAAAATAATTCCTCCACCACAAAAAACATTTGGTCACTCACTCCACGAATGTTTGTAGGACACTGCTGTGTGCAATTGGCTGCCGCATTTTGCCCACAAAATACAGTCAATCCAATTCACACTATATTCTGTAAAGCACTTTGAGACTTTATAAGTCAAATGCAGGTATAATTATTACAATAATACCTTCACTGTTCTTTCCCTTTCTAGAATAGAGTGCTTTATTATCTGTGAGGGATTCTGAGCTGAGTTTAGCTGATCGCACCCAGGGCAGCAGTTATTAGATTGATAAAATGGGGTTCCTGCTCCTGATCACCATCCAGAGAATGTTTTGTGGCTGCAGGACAGCTATCAACAGTGGGTGTTCATAACCATCTGGTGGTTGACCATTCATGGTATCTGAGTCCCCCTGCAGATGGGCCCATACTGTTGACTAGCCGGACACATTATTGTCTGGCCACACAAATGGAAAATGGATGAGGTGATGTCGTGTAGGGCGGCTGTGTGTGGGACTATGCACTATCACCTTCGGATAGGATGAAGAGGTGATTGAAACGATTTTTTTTGGGGGTGGGGGGGTGGTATCTGTAAAATAGTCATCTTCAAAATCACTATGAAATAGACACCCTCCCTCCCCCGCCCGCCCCCCCCCCCCCCCCACCCCCGGAAATAGGTCTCATCATTGCTAAACGCTCTGAAACGCCGTCCGAAGTGAAGGGCGCTATATAAATGCAAGTTGTTGATGTTGAGATGGGGGCATGATAAATATCCTCAGATGAGAGACTGCAAAGCAACAATCCAGAGCAGAGTTGGAGAGCCAGACTGTTGTGGTGTTGGCGGCTGAGCTGAGTAGACGCTATGTGAAGGTGTGACCACAAGATGACGCTCCTACCTCCTCTGTGTATATGTGTGGCTGTTCTTACTGACAACAACAAAAACAAATGACAATTGTATTAGCGCCTTTCACGTTAGGAGGACGTCCGAACGCACTGTGAAGTCAGTATTTTGGACCTGAACTGGGGGGGGGGGGGGGGGGAGTGTCAGGATTGGGGAGGGCAGTGGGGAAGCAGGGCGATCAAAAGCAGTCGAAGAGGGGTCTTGAGATGGATCTTGAAGGAGGCGAGGGAGGGGGCGAGGTGGAGGGACTGCGGGATGGAGTTCCAGAGGGTGGGGGCGGAGTGCCAGAGGGCCCTTGGGGGGGCGAGCGCGGCGGAGGATGGGAGCCCACTGAGCGGAGGGAGCAGGCAGGATGGTAGGGGGTTGCAGAGGTGGGGGGGAAGCAAAACCATGGAAGGCTTTGAAGATGAGGACCAGGATCTTGAACTGTATCGTCTGTGTGATTGGAAGCCAGTGGAGTCGGGCAAGGATGGAGGTGATAGGGTCACGGAGCCCGATGCGAGAGAGGACATGGCCTGCAGAGTTCTGGATGATCTGCAGCCTATGGAGGAAGGGGTTGGGGAGGCCGACAACCAAGGAGTTTGCATAGTTAAGCCTCGATGTTATGAATGCATGTATGAGGGGGAATACACCAGGGGGAATGTACCATATTAACAAAGTAACACTCCTAATTTATCAAAGCTTTCCCATCACTATTTTGAAAAATGAACCTGGCTCACAGATTCCTGTGGTTGCGCCAAAGGAAATATCTGAATGTAAAATGCACCACATTTCAGCTCTGGTGACCGCTATACAAGGAACGTGGGTGAGTCAGACTGAGCTCTGCTGTAAGCCTGGCTAAACTCAATCACTACATTATATAGGCAAGGTAATCTCAATACATCACTATTGAATAATTCAATAGAGGAGAACAAGGGTACATGGGTTTAACTTTAGCGAAGAACAGCCTGATTCAGGGGAACCCTGTTCTAATGCAGTATTTAATATCAAAGAAAAATAAGACCCTGATCTAAGGGGGAGGAGGAAAGCTTTTCCCATTACCCAGCTCCCTGAGCAGCTGCGTTTTAACTCACTGTGGAGTTTAACTTCCAACCAACTGTCTTGTGCGTGTGGTTTGGGGAATGTAGATTTCAATAAATGCGGGGTTGGTGGAGACACGAGATGTCCAAACCAAGCTCTCAAGACTGGGCTCCTGGCACAAAATAAAGTCGCTTGGTTCCGTTCCCTTTAGAGTTCAAGGCCCTGAGTGTCAGGCTGACTGTGTGACCACAACTGACATGTTCATGTATGCTTAACACTTTAAGGGAACAAAACTGTGGAACCAAGGATCAATTTTTGTACAATGTGCTCTGGCCAAGCAATGTAGCCTCAGCTCCTGCCCCATGAGATCTGTGGAGCAGGAGTGTGCAGTCAATCCCCTTAAATAATCTATTTGGTGGAGAAAGACTTCAACAAGACTACAGTACTTTGGCCTTTGCTCACTTTCTCATTCTCTTGCTCCCTCTCCTTCCATCTCTTGGGCAAGGCTGGATGTCTTTGACCTGCTCCCTACACGTTGGGCAGCCAGATACTTGCACATTGAAATTCCGTGCTGTCTTCCCTACAGCATGTTGGGAGGAACTGAGAGGAGCCACACATTCATCCCAAGAACTGGGCTAAATTTGATTCCTAGGGAGGGTTAGAGGATTCAGAAAAGGCTCTGGATAAAATGAAAGCAAATCCTTGATAGCAAATTCAATACACTCCATAAGCTTCTCCATAGCTCGGTGACTGAACCACAATAACCAGGAAAGCCTCTGGTCCTATTCCTGGTCTGTGTTGAGTTGACTTATCTCAGCAAGGAGGTCTCAAAGACGTGAGAAGGCTCTATATCAAATGCAAGGATTATTATTATTATTAAGGACAGTGCTAGGGCTACAGCCGACCTCATCAACCTGGGTTAGGGAGAGGAAAATCAGCCAAATACAAACCCCCGATTGTAACCCCTGATGTCTGAACGTCAAGTGAGGAAACGGATGGGGCCTCCAACCTGATACTCACGTGGGAGTCAGGAGAGGAGGGGTGAAAATCAGGAGGGTAGAACAAAATACTTCCTATTCTTGGTGACCTAAAAAATGGAAGTAAAAGCAGGGAAAGATGAGCTTTCGAGGGTTGATATCAGCCTGCGGCTGATACCCAGTCTGTCCATTTCACTGTGCGGCTTGAAGTCAGTCAGGCAATATTGTGCCACACACTCCCTGATCTTTGTTCTGTGCCTGTGTGTGTGTGTCCGTGTGGCATTGCTTTGCCACATCAGTTGCTGCAGGTCATGAACAGCTGGGAAAACATAGCCCCAGATACATTCAACACAACCCAAGGGGCTCATCTCTGCTGCCAGTATCTGGCTTCCCACAAACACTCAGAGAAAAGAAATTGTGAATCATTAGCCTGATATTTCTCTGTGCAAAAACAATTTAAACCCATTTAAAAAATAACTTCTTTTTAAAAAAATATATATAGGATATGTTTTTCTTTGATCTTGTTGTAGAATCGCAATGATTTATTTGGTGTATGGTCAGGGTAGGTCTCAATATCCCAACGATATTTAACTTTGGTTACAACCCAGCCCAGACTGATGGGAAGAAGGTCACACCTCTCTTAATTTGTGTAGGTTCCAAGGTCTTGTTCTTGTGACATTGGTTACACAACAAGTCCAAGTGTATGTGGGTGTGTGTCTCAACTGCAATCAATTCAGCATTAAACCTGCTGGGCGGAGCTTGGTTGGGCTGAGAACAAACACTGTGGCTGTTAGGTGGGGGCTTTCTTGATTGGGTTTGGGACATCTTCTTTGTCGAGACTAGTTACACATTTGCAGTGGGTATTTCAAGGTGTTGTACTTATCCTGGGAGTGTTTGATGGGACAATGTGGAGGGAATGTCACATGTATGTAACATGTATGTACTCTGGGTACTTGATGACATTGGATGCCCGAAATGGGAAAGAATTCCATTTCCTTGCACTAACAGCCTTCACGCTTTGAGCGTAACTGGTAGGGTTGAGGGGGTGAGGGGCTGTGAAGCAGCCAAGCCATTCCTCATTGTGAATACACCGACACTAATAACTGCACCATGTCTTCAAGAACCCTTTAACCTGGTTCAATCTCAACCCTCTATCTTTCATCTTCTCTCCCCACCCCCCACCCCAACACCTTCACATCTATGTAAAGAGTGCTGTGTGGCTAGCTGATCACTAGCTGATCAATATCAATGATTTCCAGTGCTCCCCGCACCTCTGGTGAAATGCTCTTCATAGTTTAATGTACACGAAATGCGATGTGATCACAAGAGAGAACAAACAGACATCAAACAGGCAAGAAACAACAGCACACGAGTCAACAACAAAACACAGCACAACACCGCAAGTCTTTATGATTGACACAAGGAAAAAAATGTACACCATGGACAGATCGGAGACATTTTTTTATATCAGATTTGCTAATTTTAAAAGATGCACAAATCTGCTTTGGATACACAAAACGATGGAAGAGGCAGGAAAGTCTCTCTCTGTATAACGTGTACAATAAAGTACGGCTTGTCAAATCTTACAGGATGGCAAGGCCTGTTGTAGAAATACAGATAGATGATCCACAAACAGAGAACCTTGGCTTTCAAAGCACAGACCTGCCCCTGCCAATGTTTGAGAGAGAAAGACACAGAGAGAGAGAGAGAGAAAGAGAGAGACTCTGTGGGGTGTACAGCGACAGAATGGAATACAGACAAGTTTTTGGCATGTAGAACCATAAGGTCACTCTGGACTGGCTAGCGATGGTACCTGGCTCTGCTGTACGTCACTGGACTGCCTGAGAGGAGTGATTGATGGAGGAGGCACACCTGAAGTGGAAGCAGATCGGCCAAGCTTGCAGCTTCCCCTAGATTCTGTGAAAGTGAAAGAGGAATTAGAAGGAAGTGTACAGAAAGTGACTTTCCTCCACTCTCACGCACAGAATTCTCATCCTATAAGAATTGATCTGCGAATACTTTGTGCCTTTCAAAGGCAGCGTGTGGTCCTGCTATCAAGTGAAAATGGGGAATCTGCAATGTACAACATCAATCTTGTTTCTGGGGACGTTTTTCTTCCTCCCCATCTCTAATTTTCTACCCTGACTGTGCCGTCAAATACTGAGATACAAGCACCTTGTGCTATCCCATTATGATTGAGCCCAGGCAATGAGCATCGGCAGGGTATTTATCTGGGGAAGGGAAGGGGAAAGGTGCCTCCAATCCTACCCTCATCCAAGGCCAGCAAATTCTCATGGTCTTAGCCTTAATAACTTGTCTTAAAAACTCAGAGCACAGAATATTGGAAGATTCTTAAACTGGTTCTTTAATTGGAAGCCAGTTTTCTGCAAAGCTTTTTAGGCTTCCAAAGACTTAAGTTAAGAATTTTGCACAATCTTAAATGTTTAAGACCATGTCCTCCAGGCTAGGACCCTTTGAAATGGAAACCCTGGCTAGCTTTTGTTTGTCCCTCTTTCGTACCCCAGATTGCCATCTCAGTTAAAATCCTCCAACTTTGTACAGATCAGGGCTTAAACCTGGGACCTTCTTGCTTTGTATGGCTCGGTCTTCCACACAACGCCAAGCAGTCAGATGGATGGAACACATGCACTCAACCATTGTTAACGGTTTGAGCTCCAATACCTAACTAGGCACGTGAGAAGGAAGTCCATGCCTACATGCCTGGGTTTTCCAACAGGAGAGCAATTGGGGGCAAGAAACCTGGATGATTTATGAACGCCCACTAATCTAGGCACCTGGAAGCCAATTGGCTCCTCATGCAGCAAGGATTAAACCTGCAACTATCCTGGTTTCTGGGGCTGCCGTCGTTGCAGGGTGCTGCTACTGTTCGAGACTGTTACCTGGCCGCATTGTGTCCGAGCTGCTGTGTCCTGCGAGGAGAGTCGGACTGACCGATGACCTTCCCAACCGGCTGGACACCACAGCTGATGGTCCCACGGTCCCATCCCATTCCTGAGATTTGATTGTTTCTCCTGAAGTTGGTGGCCCCCCGCCGTGTGCCCCTCGCTCTTTGCTTTCTGTTCTCAGCAAGGGCTCGACGCTGGAGCTTCTCACCTTCAGGTCATCCCCTGGTTCTATTTTTGAAAGACAAACACAAAATCCCATAGGTAAATTGGCGAAGCATCCAAATACTCTCAATCACAACAACTTGCATTTGGATAACAAACTTCACCTGGCGTAGCATCTGGAGAGCTGAACCCCAAAGAGACAGCTCACTCTGCCATCTTCTGACCTGTACAGCACTAAACATTTTAGAGTACTTTCTGCGACTTCACCATAGTGAAGTGGAGAGCTCTCCGGTCTCGCACTGCGCCGTTTTTTACACTTTCGGAAATCGCCAACTCCGACCTGACTACTCAGCATGATGTCAGAGACTTAAACACTTCCCATCTCAAGTTAAAGCATTTTCTGTGCATCCCAGTAACACCTTGAAAAGCTGACGGCAGTACCTGAATGGGACACAATTTACATTTTTATACATGTAAATAAATGTGCATTTATGTACATCGGGTGCAAACCCTTGACTATCCAGCGCCTTGGACTGTTCTCCTGACGTGAAAGGCGCTATATCAATGTCAATTTGTATTGTATTGTGGGCGCTTTATGATTATAATCCACCCTCACTGACTGGCAGGCAATTGCAAGATCAGGCCACTGGGTGACGATCAGGAGCCGGCAGTGGGTTGATTGTAGCAGCCTCACCACTGACTGATTCCTATCCTGATTTAGGGACTGAATTCAGCACTTTCCGGTCTGCATAGGCACCAATCCAACCCTTCGAGGATTGTTCTGTTTATCAGTGATTTCTAGTTATTTACGGGGCCTGATATTTCGCACACACCCTTGCCAGTGGAGTACACAACAGAAGGAAATTGCACATTGTCTCTGGTGTGTGCTGCGCATGTAAAAGATTTGTTACCCAGGCTTGCAATGAGCTAACCTTGGCCCTCAATCATTATGAAACGCAGCCCATGAGTTGTAAAACAATAACTTGCATTAAAATAACACCCTGCAGGATAACTTCTGAAGGACACTAGTCATAGAATAATGCCACGGAGCGCTTCACAGAGACAGGCGGTGGACTCCGAGCGGGTGTGAAGGGGAGGTGACCATAGGGTGTGGTTGAAGAGATGGGTTGGTCTCCTTTTGCCCAAAGAGAATGGGCCCAACCACACAAACAATTGTTCATCACATAGATCTGGAAGTACTTTGGTTACCCTATTTACTCTGGGGCAGTAAACTTCTTGTGAGTAGCTGGGGATCTGCAGTTTGTATGCTCCGAGGGGCTATGCCCTGGCGTCCTTTTGCTGAAATAGTTCACGAACTGTGATGATCCAATTAATGCGTCTGCTAAGCAGCTAAGAGACCATCAAAGACAAATAGATGTGGGTGAGGGGGAGTGAGCGCGGGATTGGGGGGATGATCTCCAGTCTCGTCATTGAGCACAATCTAGGTAAATGGAGTTATCATTAATAACAGACATAAATCAGCTGGAAGGTGTACAGTAAATCAATGCTGCTGCCAGTAGCCAGGCATTGGATGTGAAACACATGGGGGAGGGTGGGGGAGGGAGTCTGATCATTATTTAATTCCTTGGTGGGCAGGCACACTTGGTCTATGCTGAAATGCTACACGTTCTGACCTTGTTCGATTCAATTTGGGGGTGAGCCCCCGGTCAGGGCTAGAATGTATCACAGAAGCAATCGCTCTAAGTAACAAGTGGCAGATGGAGTGCCGGAGCCGAGCCAAATCTATCATTTGTTATGGTCGGGTGTTGCCTGTCCCTCCAGACAGGCTGGGTGCGAGATGTCTTTTTACCAGTGAGAAGTCGGATTCATGGGAAGGAAATATTCAAGGCTTGAAATGTTAAATTTCTTGCTTAATCCTGGCCATTGGTTTCTAACTAGCAACTGCGCCAAATTCCTGGGAAAAGATAGTAATTAAAAGAGAGATTGCTTTGTTAATGTTTGGTTCGCACTTTGATCTGAAGTCAAACAGACAAACTGAATGAGGTTTGATAGCAGCGAAGTGCTGAGTGGTTTTAATATAGGAACTGTTGGCTCCATTGTTTCCACTATAAAATCTCCGATCATCTTTAGCATCAACCATGAGTCAGCCTTGAATCAGCAGGAGGATAGCTGACGAACGTGCAGTATAACTGTGGGAGATTAAATAGAGAGACTATTTCTACTGTTCAGTGAGTCAGTCACAAGAAGATATAATGCAAGATTATTATCAAAATAAAATGAGGGAATTATAGTAATCCTTGTGCATTTGATATAGCAGCTTATTACATTGTTGAAATGTCTCAAAGTGCTTACAGGATTTTACTGTAGAGTACAGTGACTGTAATTTATAGGTAAATGCGACAGCCAATTTGTGCAGTGCAACCCATAAACAGCCGTGCAGTGAATGATTTTATTTGGGGGATTGTTGGCCAGGACAGTGGGAGAAATTTCCTTTTTGAATAGTGCCATGGGATCTTTAACGTCCACCTGAACAGGTAGACGGGACCTTGTTTAACATCTCATCCAAAGGACGGCACCTCTGACAATGCAGTGCTTCCCTACACTGTGAGCTTAACGTCCTGACCTATTGATTGAGGTAGTTAGAAAAATGAAGAAGATTTTACGCAGAGGTTGTTGGCTGTTTAAGCTTAGTTCATCACAGTACGTACCTATTCTACTTTCTATTTCTATTTTCCCCTCATTGTATTTCATCAACTCACATCCTGGTTTCTGTTTTTTAAGAACTTGATCCAAAATGATCCTTTGGTTATGTGGCAATAATAATTCCTGCACTTGATTATTACAATATATTGTCATCCCAAATATTATGGGTGAAAACTCTGTCTGCAGCTATATAATACTTGTATTTGTAGGCAGACGTCACACCCATTTGTTCCAGCAAGGTCCCACAAACACCAGAACACACGAGTGGATCAAGAGGATTGTTGGCCAGGACACCAGGAGAAATGCTATGCTTTTTAAATTTGTTTTATGGGATATTTAATGTCTCATAAGGAAGATGTTTTGCCCACAAGATACACGGTCAATCCACTTGTCGATGCATTCTATGAAGTGCTTTGAGATGTCTCAACGACATGATAAGGTGCTGTATAAAATACAAGGATAATTATTTATTATAACGTTAGTTTAGGATTTTACCTGAAGGATGGCACACCTGACACTGCAGCTATCCCAGGACACTGGAGTATCAACTGGGACTTGAACTTACACCCTTTTGACCCAGAGGTCAGACTGCTATTGACTGAGTCAAATTAATGGATTGATCTTTCTAAAGAAACATCATTTACAATGAATTTTGTTCTTATCAAGGCACTGTAAGTGCTGCAAGGCAGGGTTCTATTTTCTTTGCACCCAAATGTTCAACAAATCAGGTATAACAAGGACCGTATTTCAGTGTAAAGCTTTTGCATTGCAATAAGCATTAAAGCAAAACACTTCTACAATATCACCATGATGTCTCCATATCCCAGGAGCTCCATCCTTCTCCTCTCTCATTAAATTTGAGAAACTACGGATTCTGCAGTTAGTGGGCAGAAGGAAGGAGACTATCATTCCATCCACATGAGCTGAATGAACTCTGGTCCCAGACCAGGAACACAACTAACTGACTACAACATCAAGTCTCAGAAAGTATGTGTATTCAAAGACTCCAATGAAATATAAACACATTTCCAAAAGTCTGAACTATGTTTTAAGGGCTAAGAAAAGTCCCCCCTGCTCGGGTTCAAATCTCTGACTGTCCAGCGCCTCCTGACATGAAACCATCAAATGTAATTGGTGGTTGTTTTTATTAGGTTGGACAAACTTGACCTTTTTTGATTACGAACCTTGTCTACCCACCTTCCTACCACGTCCATCAATTCCTCTCACTCTAGCAATCCATCTAGTTGTCTCTAGAGCTCATTAATACAGTTTGTCTCAATGGACTTGTCCTGACGACTTACTGAGAAGAATTCTATAGGACTTTCCTGATTACTCCTTTCATCCTCATTTATAACTTGTGAACCTTGGAGTTTGACCCTTTGCACAGTAAACATTTGACTCTTCATATTGTTTCCTACTCTATGTCAAACTTTCCCAGTACTTTAAGCCTGTGGGAACTCCTCCTAGCATCTGTGAGTCACTGTCTTGGAAAGTCCTCCTGAAGTGAAATTGCTGAATAAATGTAAACTTGTTGTTTTAAAAACAATCTTGGCATCACCTAACCACCACTTGATTCATCTCATCTTCTTTCATTCTCATGGTCCCTTTTGCTTTTCAGCAAGGTTTCTCACGTCTTCCCTTCCCACACCAACAAACCCAAACACCCTGAATTTGACGAGAGTGTGAGATTGGAAAAAGTGATTTGCAACATAAATGAGTTAGGTATTGGGAATGCCAATGAAGATGCCCTCCTGACGTGAAAACTGCTTTATCAAATGCATGATGTCTTGCCAACTCCTGAAACTTTAAATCAGACCTGAGTTCTCTCAGAGTTAAGGTTGTGTGAATTTGTATCAGGAAGAGGGTGTCACTCAGTTTCCACCACTGACACTTCTTCCCAAAGGTTATACAACAACAATAATAACAACAACTTGCATTTATGTAGCGCCCTTCGCGCGGGGTAGAATCTCGGAGAGTTATGCAGTTCAAGTGCTAATGCATTCCCTCTGTCAAATATCTTGCCTGTGGGTAATAGCAACGAAAGATCACTCACTCTCCATGGGCTCCTTGGATTTCCTGCCGCTGGCAGATTTCCTCAGCAGGCTCCTTCCTGAGGTGAACAGGCAGCTGAGCTCTTCCAGGGGGCTGGTTGGCGTCCTGGAACGTGATCCATGGGATGTAGAGGCATTGGTCTTTCCTCCTTCCTTGACCACAGGTTGAGGCACTGTAGGAGAGCTTCTTGATCCACTCCCTGAATGTAGAGTGTCATAGGGCGGGGGCTTTTTTAGGCCTAAAGGAGTCATGGATCGTCCCATACTGACTGGAGATGGGGACATGGCGTGACTAAAGTGACCTTGAAGACTATGAGGTGAGGGTGTCCTGTATAGAGTGGATGGGAGCGGTGGGGAGGAAGCCCTTCCAGTTGCACTTATCCCATGGGAGGAGGGCATGTCTTTCTCTGCTTTCTGATGTCCAGAAGACTGTGATGGGAGTGATGGTGGAGAAGCACCAGCTTGCTTGATGAAGGATATGCTCGTTTCCAAGACCGGGAGCTTTGCGACTTCAAGTGGAGTTAAAGGAGATTCATCCGAGGCCGGAGAGCACTGGGCCGGGGCGGGTGGAAACACAAGTAGTGGGGGTCGATGAGGGAGCAGGTTTGGAAATGGAGGTGGAATCTCACAATATAAGCCCTTAGGAGTAGATGGCACTGAAGACTTGATTTCCAGGTCAGGCACTGTAGGAGTAGCACACTGAGAATGAGGGTCCAACCCGCCTGAACTGGTCCATTTGGTGTCCTGACCCACATCGTCGAATATTGGGTATTTCATTTCCTCGTACACTGCTTCGCTCTGATCCTCCTCATGCCGTTTAAAATCCCGCAATATATTCCCAACCATTTCAATGTACACCGGCTCCTCTTCATTGTCTGGAGTGGGACTGAAAGCCTGGCCTGAAGTGTTCTCTATGCCTGGCGTGGCTGTGGACTTCCTGCTGCCGTGCTTGGTTCCATACGTCTCATCGAAGGATGTACTGAGCTGCGTGTTTGGGTCCCGCCTTGGTTTAGGGGGTGGAATTTTTTGCCGTACTCGTCACTGTGCGGTCTCGGCTTTGACGCTGTAGGAAGTCAAAACAGATGGCGTTACTACACAAGGCCCTCGTCCAGACACTTGCAACAGTCAAAGGTCTGATGCATTTTAGATACTAATGATCATTCTTTCATTAGGCAATTGAAATGATAATACAAGTACATGTTCGCCTACAAACACACAGTCACTACATTTTGCAGTAAGATCCCGTGGAGAGTTTTGAGACGTCTTGACGACCTTATATAAAAGGCAAAGTATATTATATTACATATTTCCACTTTTATAAATGTCTATCATTATTATTTTACAATAAAGCTTCGTCAACTATTTGTGTTGTGTTTCCTGTTGGCTTCCTGATGACTCTGTTGGTAAGTAAGTCCATTGCCCAGAGTGAGCCATTCAGACCAGGTTTGAATGTCTGGTCTGTCGTGAGTTAGCTGATCTTGGACAGGAACATGTATTGATGTTAGTTGAAGCAACATGGTCTCTGATGTCTCCATTGTCACTGTCTCTCGTGGTCACAGAAAGGGAGAAAGTAAGAGAGTGAATATGAGCGTAATACTGATTGAACTAATAAGCGCGTTGGGCCTCAAAAAGTCCTCCTCCCCCTCCATTTGGCTTCATTACCGGTTCGAAAGAACGTTTGCAACATTAACTGAACACATGCAGCTTCGTGTGTGAAAGTGACTTTGTTCCCAGAGCCCAGCCTGTACGCTGGAGACAGCTCGCCGAAGCTCCACACACCTCAGACCAGCGCTGTCAACTTGTAATGTTATAAAATGTCTGAGATGTGTTCTGGAGCATGACAAATGAAGTCCTGACTGAGTTATGTAGGTCACCGTCGTCAGTGAAATCTGTATCCCATGGCAACCATGAGGTATGTGTATGTACTGAGTAAGTTTTATTCAGCAGTGTTTGTGGATCTTGTTGTGGAGAGCAATGCCCTGGCCATCACTATACTGACAACACAGTAGCCTCAGCAACAACTAGTCACCTTGTGATTCTTGAGCAACCCTCATCCAGAATTTCATCCTGCACGTGTGGAATGTTAGTGGAATTTTTTAAAATCCAACTTTTACTCTTTATCCCATCCAATGATGCTCCCTCACACAGGTGCACAATTCCACAGGCCTCTCCACGTTCCTCATTTCCTTTACCTCACCCAAGTGCCCAACCCTCATGTGTGTCGGGAGGCCAGTCAACAACAACTTGTATTACTATAATGCCCATCACATAGAATAATGTCTCTGAGCGCTTGCAGTTGAGCAGTCTGAATAATAATAATAATACTTGCATTTGATATAGCGCTATATCTCATCTTTGAGACGCCTCAAAGTGCTTCACAGAATAAACTGTGAAGTGAATTGACAGTATATTTTTGGGGGGTGAAACGCGGCAGCCAAATTGCGCACAGCAGTGTCCCACAAACAGTTGTGAATTGAGTGACCAAATTATTATATATTTTTTTGAAGGGTTTATTACCTCTGGGAAAATGATCCGCAAATCGATTTACAACCAGGTTCCTTCTTACTAATAGGTAAACAGAGGCGTATTGAGTAAGGAAACTTGCCCAACATTTCACCCTGCCCAGGAATCAAACCCAGGTCCTCTCACCTGCGAGGCGAGTGTTCTACCGACTAAGCTACAGGACTCCACAACTGTTCAGTCCCACACATTCTCATAGTAGCAGGAACCGGCAGTAAGAACACTGGCCAATCCGATTTTACGCTCGTTGATTCCGAGCCCAATTTTAAGCATCTCCATGAAGTATATGGCTTAGTCTCACTCACTGTAAAATGTCCACAGACATCTACTTATCAGTCAGTACTTCATGCTATTAATGCACACAAACACGTGCATTGATCTTGTGCTCGAGTCTCACTCAAGTAAGGCAACAATGTGAGTGGTGCAGGCCGGTGGCTGAGACTACATTGAATAGGAAGCAGATGAGTGCTTCCTGTCTTGAGCTGGATTCCCCCCTCTCCCCACTCCACTATTTGTGGTTTTAGAATAAATCATTCCTTACATTTGATATACCACCGTATCATCATCAAGAGGTCTCAAAGCACCTCATGGAATATTACTATGAAGTGTGGTGACTACTAATAATAATCCTTGCATTTGATGTAGCGCCTTATCACGTCGTTGAGACGTCTCAAAGCGCTTCACAGGATATACTGTAAAGTGAATTGACCTGTACATTTTGCTTTGACGATGTCCTACTCTTGGCCTCCTCACTTTGGATTCTCAATTAATAAAAAAAATGTTGCCGTACCCTAAGAAGAGTCATGAGCAGCATTTTGCAGTGTGAGAACTTGTATGTGTGTAAGATCCAAACTGACAGTTTAGACAACAACCTTAATAAATGTGGAAAAGGGAATATTCTCTCCTCGGGTGGAACTGTCTTGTAGATTAAGTCGAAGCATTTAAGAAAGTGCTCATTTTCAGTGCAGCTTCCAAAGTGAATTATGCTGCAGAAAGGAATTTCTTTGTCTTATTTGGTCATTATCATCCATCTCCATTCCTACTCGCAGATCCTATTACTTAGGTCATTACTGCTTTCAAAGCTTTCACCTTGAATCAGCCATTGATTTGTTGGGATAAATTACTGTCCTATAGCCTTTACAATGGGCCTATCTTGAGGATGGCTTCACTCTCCACCCCCCACCTCCATACACACCCCTCCCCCTCCTGCTCCTCTCCCCCTCCCCTCCCCCCACTTTAAAAAGGAAGGAAAAAGGTCAAGACCATTCAGAGAAAACATCTGCCGTGGTTTAAGCGGCAAAAATGAACGATGCTTATCGTGAAAGTAAAGGATATTAATGCCGGCCCCCCGATGAGTAAAGAAGTAAAGTAATGAGCAAAATAAAGAATATTAATCCTCCCCCCAATTGCAGAAGGAAGATTGACCTGTGATGATCAGATTTTATTTAAAAGTAACAAATGGAAAGCAATTCCACAGTCTTGCCGATTGTGTAGGTTATGGTTTTATTAAAAGATCTGTTTATTTTCTTCAAATGCTGTCTGTAACCTTGGGTGTTGCTCGATTGACTTTGGACCAGATTTAATTTAAACAGCAGCTGGAAATAGATTCAGCGGCAAATTAACCCTTGGTTTACTATGTAGGAGTTACCCTGACTGGCCCCAATCATGTCAATGGCATTCTGAGCCTCGACTGGTTAATCTTGGATTACAGATGCCAGTTGTTACTCAATCATCATAATAACAATCCCTGCATTTGATGTAGTGCCTTATCACATCTTCGAGACGTCTCAAAGTGCCTCATGGAATATACTGTGAAGTGAATTATTGTATATTTTGTGGGCAAAACGTGGCAGCCAATTACGCACAGCAGTGTCCCATGAACAGTCATGGATTCCGAGACCAAATTATTATTATTTCTTATTTTATTTTTTCAAAGGGATTATTACTCCCGGAAAGGCGATACGCCAATCGACTTACAACCGGGTTCCTACTTACTGCTAGGCCAACCGAGGTGTGTGGAGTAAGGAAACTTGCTGAACGTTTCGCCCTGCCCGGAAATCGAACCCAGGTCCTCTCGCTTGTGAGGTGAGTGCTGTAACCACCAAGCTACAGGACTCCACATGGACCCATATTTTCAATGGTGCTCTCACAGTGGGATTCATTAAAACAGAAGTGTTAAAAGCGATTTTATTTCACAAAAAAAATCACTAAAGGTTGATTTAGATAAAAGTGAAGTATTTCTGTCTCAATATGTGTCAGCCTGGCTCAGTTGAGAGCTCTCTCTCGTCTTTGAGTCAGAAGTTTGTGGTTCAAGCTCCATCACAGGAATTGAGCTGGTAGTCCAGGCTAACACTTTAGTGGAGTGATATGGAAAATGTTGCATTGTCAGAGGTATCATCCTTCGGATGAGACATTAAAATAAGATCCCGTCCATCTGTTCGGGTGGAATTTAAAGATTCCATGGTAGTTTTTCAAAAGAGAAGGGAGTTTCTCCTGGTATCGACTTCAAGATCCTCACACTCATGTTAAAATTCATTCAATCCCTGGCACCTCCCTACCTCTCCGACCTCCTCACTCCCCAATCCACCACCCGGCACCTCCACTCAACTGGCACCAGCCTCCTGCTTGTCCCTTGCACCCTCCGCCCCACCATCGGAAGTCGTGCTACTATGCCCCAAAACTCTAGAACGCTCTCCCTCAATCCCTCCGCCTTGCCCCCTCTCTGCCCTTTTCAAGACCTACCTGAAAACTTTCCTCTTTGTCCGTGCTTACAGCCAGCTCTCCCATCCCCGTGCTCGGAGTCAGGCTCCGCCACTGTTAAGCGCTCTGAGACGCTACACTGCGTGGAGGGCGCTATATAAGTGCAAGTTGTTGTTGTATTCTGGCTGACAATCCCCATTATATTAAAAAAATCATTCACCTCCTGACTGTTTGTGGGACATCACAGTACAGAAATTGGTTGGTTCACCTACAAATAGTCACTACACTTTTCAGTAAAATCCTGTACACTGTGAGACAATGCAACCATATTATTATTACTAAAACAACCAATTTTAAAGTGCAATGGTGGCTTTGCCTCAAAAACATAGCATTAGTCTAATAAGTATGAGGATTTAAAGCAGCGTCACAAACTCGTGTTCATTGTTACTTTCTGTCAAAGGATTCACAGTCCCAAACTGTAGGTTCAGAAAATATTTTTTGTGTGTAAAAAATGTGTAAGAGCTGGAAAAGTGCATCACATAAAAACCCTATACATGATGCTGACTCACTACACTTCAACCTCACATAAACCCCTACTCATTATTTTACACACTTTCTCGCAGCGCCCACCACAGGGTAGAGAGCAAATGGACTGTCAAGCTGCAGTAGGTGTGGGTGTATGTTTTTGGTAAGCGTTTGAATGAAAGAGAAACAAATCTAGCAAACTATAAATTAATCTAATGAACACAAAACTAAAATCAATAGTTCAATTACTGGTGTTAGGAGTGTTCAATAATATTCAATTAGCCAGAGAGCAGGGAGCAAGCATCCAGTGCCCTATCAACTGTCAACCTTTGTTCAATTGTCCAGGGCTTTAGGATTTTGACGATCTCAGCTTTTGGCTGTAAGAGGATTTGTATTCGATCTTTGCTGTCCTAAAAATTTGATATTCAAGTTCAAAAATAATTCAATTTATTGCTGGAGAAGGAGGAACCCAATTATAGCGCTGTCAGCCTGGCTGCAATATCTCAAATTCCATGTTGAGTGTGGAAAAAAATGCCCAACCTCCGGGAAGTCAAGTCTCCACCAGTGTCACTTCCTGCATGCTGCCCCTAGTCACTATGTGCAGGACGTGAGATTGATGTTACTTCCAACGCAATGTGATATCAGTGGCACTTGCACCGAACAATACACCCAGAGCGCAGGAAATGACATTAACGGCGACCTAATGACCAGAAACCTGGCCATTCCCCACCAGAAGCTGAGGTGGACTGTAGTTGTAACTACTGTAACTGTAACAGCGCCTTGGGATGTCCTCCCGACGTGAAAGGCGCTCTATAAATGGAATCTTGTTGTTGTTGTTGTAATATTTAGCAAGGGCATCCATGGTCAATGCGAACCCAATTGATTTATTTGGATTCAATTGAATGGAACCTAATTAATTTGATGGGCAGCTCCACCATTAAGAACCTTACTGGAGGTCTGCACCTTTAACAGTCGTGATTCAATCATTTAACAAATTGATGAAGAATTGAATAAAACATTTTGAATCCTCCACTGTTAAAATTAAACAGCTATATATTTTAAAATAGTGGGAGAATTTTGCTGGTATATGAAAACAACATCAGTATTGAGGACTTCACAGTCTGCTATACAATTATTTTGGTGCTTGTGAAGTTTCCTCTCTGCCCCCATAACACCAGCCTAACTGTGACCGTCACAAGATCGCAAACTCGTTTCACCTCAGACAATTATTACCAACAGAGGGAGGAAGTTTGCATTCTCTCCGGCCACATTACATCTGTGTTCAGGTTCCTGAGGGGTGTCAGTATTTTACTGTAAAAAGTGGACAAAACCACTTTGATTAGGGGCTCATTTTATCAAGAAGCTTTGCTTAGTTAAACAGCACCTCAGCCGAGAATTTTTTTTAGCAGAACTTTGTTGCAATACAAGCTTGTAATAATGACATTCATCATTGTAATGAGCTTGAGAGAAAACTTTATATTCACTCCATTTTTTCTCCGGAAGTCACTGACTCTCTGTTGACTGCTGAACATCTCCTTCAATATCCATTCCAAATGCCCATTCTGCTTGTCAGCCAGAATATTTGACCATGGTGGGGGTGGCTGGGGGGGGTAGAGGATATCACAGTCCAACCCATCTGTTGCATCAGATGTTCACAACAGAGGGTCACCGGATAATATCACGAGCAAGAACCCTGTTGATTTATTTTGTTAACCCTCCCTAAAGCAAAACTCTAGTGTCTTCTCTACCACCTCAAATGACCCCCTAAACCCTAGGATTTAAACCCAGATTTATCCACCTGCTTGGCTCCAGCCCATGCAGTGCAATGCCTTTGCCAGCAGAGATAGTGAGAGATGCTGTCATGAAATCTTTCTCCCTTGTCACTGAAATTTTGATGATTGTTCTTGTATATCTAAACACTAAAGCTCTCTGTGTGGTTCGTGCTTGCGGTTTGCTCACCTGAATTTTTGTCGGCCTCTTTCGTTGCCGTCCCTGATGCTCCCGGCATTCCCGGTGTGGCTGCCGATCCGGGGGTCCCTGGCGTTCCAGGGGTCCCTGATGTTCCGGCGTTCACCGTCTCCGTGGAGATGCTCAGCTTTGTGCTCGGTGCTCGCTTGGGTTTCGGCGGAGGCTGTTTGCGTGCACAGGTGTGACTCTCGTCATCGCCGCCCCCCACAGAATGTAGCGACTGTGACCTAACGGAAAAGCCACTGGAACAGGGGTGGGGCAGACGGTCCTGAGGGGCTGGCATGGTCATGAATCCCATGCGGAAGTGCTTTCCCATGCAGCTGCCGTCACTTCCCTTTCCAACTTCTCCACCCAGCCTGAAAGTGCAAAGAAAAAGATAATTAGACGACCGAGCCAGTCTTCATTGATATTTTTTCCCGTTTACAGCATAAGGAAGAGTCCATAACACACATAGTGTATCTCATGAGGAGTCTGGATGAAGAAGGCCCTTAAGTCCATTTGATCTCATCCTTCCAGAATACCCACCTATTGTCCTCCCGTCAGTGTTGAGGTGCTTTTTCTTTTAAAATAAGTCCAGCGTCCTGGCTTCAACCACCCTTCCTTGTAGCTCATTCCAGACGTTAAATGCCCTCTCCCGGGTAAAGAAATACTTTTCGATGCCTATCCTGAAATTGGCCTTTGTAATGTTGATCTTAATCCTGTTTCCTTAGGTTCTGTTTTTTTGGTGCATGACTCGAGCGCCTAGCTTGTCTAATTGTTGCTGGTACCTCATTGCTTCCTCTGCACTGCATCCAGAGCCTGGGCAGTTCCCATATGTCACAGCAACCAGCACTATATACAAGGTAGCGCACCCCTTGTGGGGATCTGAACTACACTGATTTGGCAGCATTCTGTTTGTAGTCGCATTGTTTTGACAGTGAGCGATGAGTCAGTTAACACCCCTAATCTTTTTCAGCTTCCCCTTTTGATAGATTCTATCATACGCCTTACTTTTTACTTCCTATATGCAGCACCTTCCATTTATCTGTATTGAACTTCAACCCACAAAATGCACAGTCAATCCACATTTCAGTAATATTTTGTGAAGTGCTTTGAGACATCTCAACGCCATGATAAGATGCTGTGTCAAACTCAAGGTTTATTTATATTATTTATTAGTTACCAGCCATGTGCATTATACTATCGCAATTGTTTGCTGAGGTTTCAATGAAAGTTACAATTTGCCTTTCGCATAAAAGAAAAGGTCTCAGGTTAAAGTCACAGAATGTGTTGCTCTAGATCACTAATGCAGAATTACTTCCAGCCCAGTAACCACAGTGGAAGGTGTAGTTGTGCACATTTGTACAGCTGCAAAGGAATACATATCCATGCGGGCTGCAATAGTGCCACATGTGGGACATTACAGCTTCCAACATGATTCACGGGATCATTTTCCCACCCTCCGCAGACCTGAAATGTGAATGTTTAATGTAAATGTCAAAGCAAATTGACCCGATGGGCAGGGGAATCCAAGAGGTTCTAGAGATTTCATCAAAGTAGAGAGACAGAAAACAAAGCTGATTTGGGGTGACTATCACTGAAACTGACTGATCCGGATGACTGGTGAAGATCTGGACGTAGCGACTAAGTGACGCAAGATGACAGATAGACAGATGACATTCATCAATGCATCGATGGATATGTCTGCAGGTGCTGAAATAAAAACTCATCACATCATTGCTTACTCAAGCTCATTCTTTCCCAGGATCTCGATATCATGGAACTTCTTATTTCCTGCAAGTCTACCCTTCCTTCTAAGTCTAGTTTCCTTCACAGGCTTGTGAAACCCAAGTGTACCTTTGCCTGACCACTACTTCTTGATTGATGCCATCTCCTTTACTTGTTTCTACCTTGGTGATGTCCTGCATTGTGGGCCTTTCCTCTTCAAGTCTCCAAATGATAAAATGTCTCCAGTTATAGATTCTGAATTTTGGTCTTTAATATGGGACCAATAACTTTCACAGACAGGAGAATACTGTGAATATATAACAGTAATAAATTACATTTTTGTGTGAGTGTACATTGTAAAACACCCACTGGAGACTGATAAATTACCCAGCATGTGGTGCCGTTTATCTGTCTCGTAGTGCATGTTATTGCTTTGTATTCGCTTTGTGACTGTAATTCATCACCTAATTATAGTCCATTTTCAAAGCCAGCCTCTGTTTGAACATGTCCAGCATACCTATCAGGATGTTTAAAGGCTTCCAAATACAGAGCAGTCAATCAGGGACACCCTGCTCATGTGACACCGTGGATTCTACGCTTCCTGCAGTGAAATTGTTCACAAGATTAAGGCCAGGTGTCTGTACAAACAATTCTCTTCCTTGCTCCTCGCCTATATCATGAAGCTTCTCGGTGGAGCTTGATTGCAGTGATTTCTGTTACCTTTGCTCTGATCTCCACTCTGTACTCCTTCCCCAACACCCTCCCTCCCCCCATCAGTGCTTAAGGGCTTTGAGATGTCTCGAAGAGGTGCTGAGGCACCATATCAAATGCAAGGATTATTATTTCAACTGCGGTGCTTAGAGCTGAGGGGGAAATGTCTATGAGCTATGTACAAAGCTTTGTGAAATATACTTTGAATGTACAAATATGAATATCTTTCGAAGGAAAAAAGTTTTTTTTTAAACTCCTTCAAGTTCCTCAAATTGTTTTTCATGGGTGAGCTTGTGAGGAAGCCAGAGGAACAATACACAGTGGCCGTAGCTTACTTTCCACACGTTCCCCAATCCACCTTGTGTTTGATGTTGTTACCAGGGCTAGATGCTCAGACTCATCACCCCTCTCTAAGGGTTAAATTGCATTTACCATCTACGTATGCAAATTGGCAAATGTAATTCTGCTACGCCGTAAGTCCGAAACTAGCCCCAGCCTGTGAAATCTAATTTACATTGATAGCTGAATCAGAACTCAGTAGAAAAGGAATATAAGAATGGAGGAGACCACAAAGTATCCAAGTGACTAAAACAATAGATAGCCATGCGTTCAGCTGCTGTTTGGGGTTCTAGTGGTTGAAATGGACATTGTTTAGAGACATCAATTCTCAGAGTTGAGCTATTACTGGCATAAGGCATCAGTCCAATAAGTGTACTCTGAATGTAATTGTCTCTCACTGCAGTGATCAAAGCTTCATTTCTGCTGTTGTGGGAAAACCGTGCCCAATCAACCCATGTCTTCCACCTCCTCTCTCCTACGTACATCCTTCTGTCACACATACCTGAGCCAATGGATTTATCTATGTTAATTTCTAGTCACTGAGGTGAATTATCACAAAGAATCATAAATTCAAAAGTCAGGGTCCATCTATTTCTTTTTCCCCCTCACTCCATATTTCTCCTCTCCTAAACGTTTTGCCCACAAAATACACAGTCAATATACTCAACAATATATTCTGTGAAGTGATTTGAAAAGTCTCAATGATGTGATAAGGCGCTGTGTCAAATGCAAGGATTATTATTATAATAAGGGTGCTGTAGTTCAGGTCCCTTTCACTCCAGTTGCCCTTTGGTACTTGACAGAAGTGTCCATCCTTCATGGGTAAGACTAGCCAGTGGGTGCCAGCAGACTAAATGACTGTACTTCATGGGGGAGGGGAAGCATCGAGGCTGAGCCCAATCCTATCATTGTACGTACACTTTCCAACAGGGGTCATCAGTTAATCATTAGGGGGAAGAACCTCAGTAAACTTTGCTCCTCATTAACCCAAAAGACCGAGGCCTCCTCCTGGTGTTCCAGCTTAGATTGACTAATTTACCTCCGAATGGGGAGTGAACCTGGGACTTTCATGGTCTGTAAAGCCCAGGCACCCTATCTTGTTTTCCAATGACCATGATGCCCATATCTTTGAAATGTAGTTTAGTTGACTTCCTGCTTCTATTTTTACTCACTCTCCCATCTATGTGTGTGGCCCTTATACTGGCTTCTCTGTACACAGGGGAGTCATAAACCTGTGTGCTTTCCACTACTCATTCTATCCCCTGGCTTGAGTGCAATCAATACCATCCAAGCATAAGTGCCCTTGACACTGTAGTCACAGAATTATTATTCCTGCAGCTGCCTAAATGAGAATGTGTATTTTTTCTCTGTTTTGTATTGTTGGATAAGCACTATATGCCCCCACTCAGTTCATTTCACAAATTTATCTCTGTGCACTTATAAATAATTCAGTTCAGAGATTAGACATTTCAGGCCAGGATGATGTCATTTAGCTTATTGTGCCTGTGTTATGTTACTTCATAGCTCTCCCAATGAGCTATCTGGTGTAATCCCATTTCCCTATTTTGTTCCCATATTCTCATATCATTGATCTTCATTCGACAACCTTTTAAATATCAATTGACTGAATCACCACTTGGGATAACGGGCTCCACACCTGATACCCTGACAGCAAAATAGTCTCCTAACACTTCATGCTTCTAAGGTATAATCATTGCTATATATACTGTATCTACTACAGTCTAACGTTGGATACATGTTCATCCCACAACATACAGTAGTATAATAGAATGTCATAGTGCAGAAACTGCCCATTCAACCGATCAATTCGGTGATGTTTTACCCCCTGCATGAGCCACCTATTTTAAGCCCAATTTCCTGCTCCCTCCCACCTCATTTTATCGGAAAATTGTCTCCTCGGAGCTGAACTGGCATGTTCGGCAATGACAAAATCGAGCCAATCCTCTATGGCTGGAGTCTCTATAGTCCAGTTCCTGAGCCATGTGGGTGTGCAGTACTCCAGGGAACTGCTGATGACAGCAGAGCTGGGCCAGCTTATCGGCAGGACTTGGAAGGGCAGACCAGTCACTGGGGGAGGAGAGAGTGCACATTCCATTCCAATATATATGTCTGGAATTTCCATGTGTAGGTGGAATCCACGGAACTCTGTTTGGTTTGGATATTCTTAGGCCAGGTGATGAGTCTCTGCATGTGTCAGACACCTGGCTGTCCAAAATAACTGTCTGTGAAATTCACCCTTCCATGTCAGACACCCAGTGTCAGCATTAAGCCTCTCCAGGTTAGTTGCAGTACAATTGGGGTAGAGGAAAGCTTCACTGTTCCCCCGGCAATGTACCACAGCCCCATCTCTTAGGAGTGTCCCTGGACTGGACCAAAGTGATGTTTTTACCATTTCCAGAACTGGCCGTCCCGAGGCTCTGAGTGAAATGGTCAATATATAACAATTGGGGCTGAATTAAGGGCAGTTTTGACTCCACACTCAGATGGAACTGTATCGACTGACCAAATGTATTTCACATAAACCAGACTTCATTCAAATCTGTGGTGAAGGGCCAGTGTCTGGCCAGTTCCCCCCATA